GACCGTTCTGAAGGATGTACTGTGTGTGAGTGTGTGCAAAGATCAGATCCGCTGATTCTGAATCGGAAATAATTCCTGGTAAACCTGCCATGGGGGTCCTTGTTCAGACACTTCCTGGTATAGGGTGACAACACTTTGTCCCTGTCTCCCAACTGTTCTCCTTTGTTGTCACTCTGTCATGTGGGCATTTTAAAATATATTTAGCATAAAGGGCCCACTGTTGTCCCCATCAGGAAAACCTGCCATGAAGGTCCTTGTTGTAGAAATTCATGTTATACGGTGACAACGCTCTGTCCCTGTCACCAAATTGTGCTCCTGCGTTGTCACCCTGTCACATGGACAATTCAATGCACCTTACATAGACATGGTCCGCTGTTGTTACCATCATGAAAACCTGCCATGGAGATCCCTGTTCTATAAATTCTTGTCATAGGGTGACAATGCTCTGTCTCCCAATTGTGCTCTGCGCCCCAATTGTGCTCTACGCCCCTGGCTTCCACTGAAGACTACACGTGCCCGTTTCTACGAACCTTACATAGACATGGTCCACTGTTGTCACCATCATGAAAACCTGCTATGAGGGTCCTTGTTCTAGCAACTCTTGTTATAGGGTGACAACGCCCCGTCCCTGTCACCCAACTGTGCTCCTGCGTTGTCACCCTGTCACATGGGCTTCTAACGGAGACCACACAATGCACCTTTACACAGACATGGTCCACTGTTGTCCGAGCCATCGCTGGAGTGCACGTAGACAGGAAGTGGATGCAAAGAGGCAGCAGATCAGCAGCACTGAGATGTAACAAAGGATTTTATGTTAAAAAAAATTTGTAACAAAATATAAATCTACTTAAAGTTTATTTGACTTCAACCCGCATTTCGTGGAACTACAAGCCCTGGAACGGGCGCGGACCGCCCTGCGCCTGAGCTGTAATACGCCGTGTCACTTCCAGTAGGGGATTCATGGCGATATAATAACCAGACGCAGAGAAATGTGACTGATATATTATTCCGGGATTCTCGGCTAAAGCCGCCGTTTTGTCGAAATCTTTTATCTGGCACTTAGAGGGCGAGAGGCCAATGATTCTGTGATTGTCCCGCCAGCCTCCCCCCTCGTGTTGTAAGAATTGATATCTGTGTTGTGCTTATTCCCTAATCGTCCCGCGCCGGGTAC